AGAGAGAGAGAGAGAGAGAGAGAGAGAGAGAGAGAGAGAGAGAGAGAGAGAGATGGATGGAGAGCAGGACAGTTAGAGTTAGGGTAATTCCATAATTTTACCTCCTGCACATTCCAGCCTCACTGCAGGGGCAGCAGCATTTAAGACAGCATGTGGAGTAGAGCAAACAGCTGTGTGGATCTACTCATGGTCTTTTCAGTCCGTGCGCTTGGGACCCTTATTTAAGGAGTAAGGAGAGTTTTCCCAGCTTTTTTAAAACTGCATTTTGGCTTAGCTCAGTTTTCATTTTACTGTCCATTGGAAGAGGCTGTAGTACTGGTTAGCATCTCTCAGTCACCAGCAGTTTTTATTTTCTCTTATTCATTCTTTACTTACAAATTTATCAACATTCCTTTTCTACAATAGGCTATGAATGTATCTTCATGCAAGAAGAGTGCAATACAGGGCTGAATCTCTTCTCTTTTTTACATCAGTCTTTTTCTACACCATCATTCACCATCATTAAAATTTCTTGCTTCCTCCACATCCATTTAAGCAAAGGAGGACTTGGGACTTTTTACCTGACTTGTGGGTACAGTAAGACCATCTTCTAATCCACCCTTCATGAACCTTCTGCCCTCAATAAATTGGGATTAGAACTTCTAAAATGTTATAACTAGGGCAGGTTGCTTGAATACAAATATTCGCTGACTACATTTACAGGAGGAAAATAATGTTTCTCTTCACTTTGATAATGAAGAGTGGTTTTGTAACTGAGCTTAACATTGTTTGTTAACAATTTAAATCCTGTTATTAGAGTTAAGAAAGAACACACAGTCTAATAAACATGGATGCCTACTTTTTGATAGAAAGAAAACCAGCTATTTTCATTTTGCATGCTGAAACCAAAGCATTATCAAAAACCAATTTCCTATAAACTTAGCTTCCCTGATTAAAATAGAATTTCGCATTTAAACTTTTTATCATTACATTAGTTCAATGATTTAAACAAATTCAAGGTTTCAGACCTAAATGTGTTTGAGACCAAATTATTAACCTCTTGGTAGCCCAAGCTCCTCTGGCGAAGAGAGGCTTCATCAGGAGGTGGGAAATCTAGACAGACGTGCTTCCTTTCCCAGAAAAATGAGGTAAGAGAGTTTCCTGATTGTTTCTCTGGGGAACACAACTGGCCTGACTCCCTCAGCTGATACTGTGGGTATGTGTGTGAGAGAGGGAGAGAGAGAGACTTTGCATAGTACAGAAGTACATTTAACAGATTAAGAGAGTTGGAAGGAACCTTGTAGTTCATCTAGTCCAACCCTCCCTCCCGCACTCAAGCAAGAGACCTATTCAGACAAATGGCAATCCAGTTTCTTCTTGAAAATCTCAAGTGATGAAGCTCCCACAACTTCTGAAGGCAACTTCTGTTCCATGGGTTGATTGTTCTCACTGTCAGAAAGTTCCTCTTTATTTAGTTGAATCTCTCCTTGGTTAGTTTCCATCCATTATCCCTTGCCTGGCTTTCAGGTCCTTTGGAAAATAGCTTGCCCCCCTCCCCCTGGGAGCCCCTCAAATATTGGAAGAGTGCTGACATCTCTCTCCTGGTCCTTCTCTTCACTAGACTATCCAGGCCCAGTTCCTGCAACCGTTCCTCATATGTTTTAGCCTCCAATCTCCTAATCCTAATGGTTGCTCTCCTCTGCACCTTTTCTAGTGTCTCAACATCTTTTTTATAGTGGGAAATAAGCTAAGAATAAATCACTCCCATTCAAAATATTCTTCTGGCATATTTCTGAAACTTTGTTTCAAATAACCTCTCAAGACTTCTTTCCCCCAACCAGCCTTGACCAATTGCAATATAATTATTATCACAAATGGGCATTTGGGGAGGGGAGACACGGCAGGTAGGAACTCAAAAACCTCTCAAACTAGCATGGCCTGAACTGCTTCTCATCCCGACTGTAAGACATTTCAAGTCAGGTGAGTTTTCGGATTTGGAGTCATTGGAGGGCTATTTGTCTTTGCAACTTTCTCTAGGTTCGACAATCTGCCCCATTTCTGAAGGGGCAGCACTGAAAGCCAAACTCCCCCCCTCTTTGGGCTCAGCTTCGGAGACTGTGTATCGCCCCCAATGTGCCCCCGTGGCCCTTCCCGGACCCTGAACCGCACGGCGGCCGTTTCTGCCCAGGTAAACGCTGGGCAGCCCCAGGACCTTCCCCCACCTCTACCCGCCTGGCCAGGGGCCTCGACGGCTTCTCTTGGGCAGAAGCTCGACGCAGCCCATGGACAAGTGCTCCAGGCAGGGGGCCACAGACCCACGAGGAAGACCGCCTCCGGCACCCGAGGCCCTGCGGCAGATGCCGCATCCGGGTGGCCCCGGGCTCCAAAGAGCCGCAAAAGCTACCTGAGAAGCGGAGGGGGGAGGCCCGTTACCCGCGGCCGGCTGAGGCAGAGCGACGCCTGGGACTGCCGAGCGGCCGCAGCGGGATAGCGAAGCCTCCCCCCTGTGCGGACTTGGCGGCCGCTTGGAGGCCTGGCGGTGCTCCAGGGGTTTTGCTTCCCCCTCACGTCGGCCGGGTGCCCCGTCGGGGCAGCGTGGCGGCCGGGCCCGCTCTTTGCAGCGGCGGCGCTGCCGCCTCGTGGGCACGCTTCAGCGGGCTCTGCCTTCGGCACGTGGAGCTGGGCGTGCGTATGCAGAGTAGCGGCGCTGGGCCGCCGGAGAGCGGCTACATAAAGCCCGAGCCCGCCCGGCGCCGCCAGCCTCCCAGGCAAAGGCCCCGCAGCCTTCCCTCTACAGCCCCGCTCGTCTCCCTCGCCTCCCGGGCGTCCGAAGTGGGGGAAACGTCGCCAAGCGGGCCTCACGCGGGGCTCCTCCGGCTTTGGCCAGGGCGAAGAAGGCGCCGCCGTCTCCTCCCCGGGCCTGCCCGCCGCGCTTCGCCCACTTGTTGCTCGTCTCCGCTGATTGGGTTGCCGGCCGTCCCGCTCGGCTCCGCTCCGCCCCGGCCGGCCCGAGCGCGACCTCTGGCTCCCGGCGCCAGGCGGGGGCAAAAGGGGCGGGTCGGGCCCGCCGCCCCCAAAGCTGCCCGTTCGCGCGCCGGAGCCGCTTGCCTTGGCTTTTGTCCGGGGGAGGGAAGCAGAGAGGACTGCCAGCCGCTCCGCCTCTTC